CTGCCTCCCACTTCCCTTCACCATCCGTCATTCCATCCAACCTGCCCCCTAACCCACCCTGGATCACCCTCATCTTAGTAAAACACAGACGTGAGCTTAAAACCCTTCAGGGCCCTTCCACTGCCTTCAGGATAAAGTCCTTCAGCCCCGCCTGCCGCTTCCCCAGCCCCAGTACCCCTCCCCCACCCTTCACCCACGACACTGCATCCAACCTGAGCAAAGGCCTTTCCACCAGCGGACCCGCCTTTTTCTCCTAACTGCCTTGGCACCAGCTTTCCTGTGCCAGGGGCATCCGTCCCCAGCTCCTCTTTTGTTGGCTGTGTCCAACTGGCCCACCAGCTGTTTTCCTCTGGGCCTCCCAGAGCAAGGCGGCCTGACCGGACCACTGCCACATCCCTAGCACCAAGCCAGTGCCTGGTGTGAGTCCCTGAATGAGGAACCTGGCATCTCCTGCCCCACGGCCGGGAGCTCTCTCCTGCAGACCAGGCTGGCCACAACCCTTGCCCCACCCTGTGGGGGAAGCTCACTTCACTACTGACCAGAGGAGAGGGGCTATTTCTGTGCAGCTGTCCGAGCTCAACCGCAGAGACCCAAGACAGGGGCTATGGTGTCCGTGGGACAGACACAGAGAGGGCTGGCATAGGCCCAAAGCCACACAGCCAGGCAGTTTTAATGAGGCCTTTGGTCCCTGGCTGTCCTGCCTGGGGGATACGGGGAAGAAGGGAGGCTGGCAGCCATACTTGTTGTCTGTGATGCTGTACACCTCCGCTGAACTGGTCAGCCCTGTGTCTGTGACCCCGGCAGCCACAAAAATGCGGCCGTCATGGATGGTGGCCCCGAAGAGAGATCGGGCAGTCTGCATGGGCGCCAGCTCCTTCCACGCGAACTTCTTAGGGTCATAGACACACATCTTATTCAGGCACTTCCTGTGGGGTGGGGGGCAGTGAGTGAGAGAAAAGCAGCAGAAACAGAGGCGCCCCTCCCTGGGCCCAGGTGCTCCCAGCCGCCTCCCAAGGCAGCCAGGACAAACGGCCTCGGGGAGATTCTGCTCCCTTTCCCACTGTGCAACCCTGCTGCCGCCTGCCGCTGCACTCACTCCAGGCCCCGAGCCTCACCTGTCGCTCCCTTTGCCGCCAATGACGTAGACGAGGTCCATATGGGAGAGCACCGCGTGGCCGTACACGGCATAAGGCAGCGGGTCCGATTCGCCCCATTTGAACGACCTGGAGGGGAGGGGAGGCGGGTAGAGCGAGCACCTGGCTCAGGCTCGCGCCAAGTCCCTGTCTGCCCCCACGCAACACGTTGTCGTTGCATTACCGGAACGCCCCAGACGTCTCCTTCGCTCGCTCGCCCCTCACCTGCCACCCCCCCTGTCCCGCCGCTACCCAACCCCGCCTCCG